AGATGGGCTTCCCTTGCCGTGTGCAAGGAAACACGATGCCCTGAAAACCTTTGGCGAATATGTAGTGAGCCCGGGAAAAGGTGCCTGTACTAAAACAGGGTAGATTTCTTGTGAAGGAATTTCACTTTGGAATGTGACATATTGTGTCAAGTGATAGGAGATTTTGCTGTGTTTACTTTATAATCTGTGTTTACATTGGCAGACATAGGCAAACAAGAAGTAAAGGTTGCCTATAACCCTAGAGATAACCTAGTAATATTTAGTCCCCTTTTCTGTGTTTTCTGTGGGTATGCTCGTGCACGTTTGGTTTTCCACTGCTTGTTTACTTCATATAGCGTGACAACCTTTCGACACCGTTAAATCCTACCACCTCATATTTACGTATATATATTTCCCTTTTCTCTTGTTGAAATTTAGGTTGTTCCAATATTTCACTATTTTTGCAGCCAGATCCTTGTGCGTATAGACCAGGTTTGTTACTCAGGGTTGGAGTTGTTGGCTCTGTCACTTTCTGTATGGAGCAATGGAAATAGTACTGGTAGGAATAGGAGACAAGTCTGGTGATGGTTCTCAACTGTCCGTGTCCCTGGATAACTCGTTATGTGTCTCTGGAGCTCACTTGCACCTGGGGCAGCTTGGTATTATGGGGAGGTCAGAGTCATGCTGGGCCGACACACAAGGAAACCAGGGATGTCACAGAGCATCCCTTCTCTGGAGCCTGGCATTGCACACCCCATGGCGGTCAGCGTGAGACCTGCACATTAGCAACAAATTCTTTATCAGAGCCAGGTGAACACAGGGCACACAGCAGATCTGGCCGGAGCTGCTCTTTCTAATCAGTGAGGTGAAGAGTTTTGGTAAAAAGAGACAACTTCTGGGATGAGGATAACAATCGACCTTGACTATGAAACCTTGGTTTGGGTTTGTTTTTCTTCTAGTTGGTAGTTCTCAGCCACAGAGACAGTGGTTGTGCTTCCATTCTCACTAACCTGTGCTTCTGACTGTGATTTCAAGGTGATGGCTCTGGAGGAGGCAGGAGTGTGTATGTGTGTGTGTGCATGCGTGCGCATGTGCCAGAGAGACAGACTGCCTGATTGACTTAAGCTGCCTGAATGAAGGCTTTTCATGACTGAGGCTGACCTGGTGCCAAAGTTAGCAGGATGAGAACGGGAAGGTTGAAGGTATTGCCATTGCCATGGACTGGCCGACACACTCCCTGGGGGAAGCTCCATTTGTCCAATTGACAGAGGTCTCTAGCTTGACCCTGCACGTGTTCCTCCAACCCACAAGCAGTGCTGTACCCAAGGCCTTTCCCTAACTAGATGAACCCGGAGCTAAGAAGCAAAGTGCCCCTTAAAATAGCAAATGCCCAAGGTGGCAGTATGCACCTAGTGGCCCCACAAGATAATTTCTAGGCCATGTTTAATTGCATACCCACCTAACAAGTGCAACCCAGGAGACTCTTCTAATCCTCTGCCATCTCTCACCAAGAAAACTGAAGCCATAATGACCCAAAGTCTGTTTTTCTCTGTATAACGTGTAGCCATTGAGTTTATATATACAATTATGTATCCTGCCTTTATAAAAACGCGTTGTTGTATCCACTCCACGCACATTATAATATTCCTTATCCTGGGGGTTGTCTCCAAAGGGAGGCAGTCAGAAATTCTGAGGGAGTTTCAGACCCGGCACTTTGGACAGCTACTTGAAAGTCAGTCCAGGTGACTTTTAGGCTGTCATTCTAGGCAGGGAACATGAGGGGACAACAGTGGCACTTGGAGTGGGGTGATTTGTGGTGACTGTGGCATCACAGAAAGCTGGCCTTTTTGGTTTTTCCTTTAATGGCATTGTGATGCTGTGTGTGTGTTTAGGGAGCACACTTGTGCCAGGGACTGGTTACTTTTCTTGTTCCCTTTGTTTGCTCTTGAAGATGCTGGGTGGCCTCTGGCTCTTGTTTTTCCCACTGATTACAGAGTCACTGAGAGGCAGTTGCTCCAGCAAGGGTGGAGTCCTATGCCTCTTTACCCAAAGGGCTGCCTGCTTGTTTTGCCTTGCAGAAACTCCAGGAGGAGGAAGAGGAGGAGAGCAATACCAGCAAAGCACCCACCACTGTATCTGAGGAGCATCTCTGAGAAAAAAAGGTGGTTGCGACTCAGGGAACATGGGAGAACATCCCCTACCTCTTCAGTCAGCACAGCTCTCACTGCCACAAAGGTCTCTGCTGGAGCAGCTTTTGGAGGGAACTGGCTGGAATATTTGCGGCTTGGAATATTTGCGGCAATGCCTATGCCTCCTGGAACCCACTCAAGAGCTTCCAGGGTCTAGTTGGGGAAAATCGTGCCTTTCACCAAATGCAGAGTTGATCCCCGCCCCCTCCCCTTTTAGAGTCTGGGAGCTGGTGTTGGGAGAGGCTGGTGAGTAGTGGAGTCAGTCCTGGCTTGGCACCCTGCCTTCCCTCTTCACATCCATCCCTCATGGAGAAAGCCTGCAAATTATCACGGAGAGAAAACTTATTCAGGATATTAACTTTTTCTAGTGTCTTAAGACCCTTAGAAGCTCAGTTCTAAGGAGCGGCTGCTGTTCTGGACAAGGGTCATCCTTGGGTCATCAGACTGACTGCTAAGGTTCTGTGGGAGAGAAAGTACCATGAAAACAAGCAAGCTCCATCAGAACAAAGCCATCAGTACTCTGGGCCTAGGTTCTCTTGGCCTAATGTTGGGGTCTGTCTCCAAACCCTCTTTCCTAAGAGCTGATTAAACCAAACATCAATAAACTTGAGGAAAACTTTGTGGTGGCCATGAGGGAGAAACTGATGTGGGAGAGGTAGCCGCCTAGGTGTGTGAGGGTGCTGGGGGCTACATTCTGAAAGTTTGTGAAGGCCTGTGTTTGGAAACTCTGGTACCTTGATCTGAGAATGGGAGGTTCTTTTCTACAGAAGAAGTCATTGTCCAGGGACTTCTCTGTGTGTGTCACCTCTGCCTTCATCTGGACACTGCCTTGAAAAACTGTCATTGGCCTAAGTACTTGTTTTCTCTGGAGAGAGGGAAATGCCAGGCAACTTCCTGTAACCTTCACTGAAAACTAACTTTGATTCATTCCACCCAGAGAAAGCCGAAGCTGCTTCTGAGCAATGAGAGGACAAGGGCCGAAGGAAAGGGGCCCTTGAAATGGGAACTGAGTGGTCTTCTTGAATTAAGGGTACCCCACCTCTGGCGGGGACAGTATTTGCACACCCACCCCCTTCTAGCAATAATCTTTTATCAGATTCCCTTTAAACCAACCCAAGCTGACATTCTCTCTCCTGCCTAACCTGTGGCCTAGCTCTACTCATGGGTTTGGGTAGCACCTCCTGAAAATAAGACATTTTGGTTATTTCTCCTTTCATTGAGCAGCTGCAATCACAACCCCTGTGCTGTTTATCTGTAGCCAGTGCCCTGGACTCGGCATATCGGAGCAGCCTATGCCGGCAGCAGCACTGGGGTGCTTGGGTCAGGGGTCTATGTGTGTGAGTTTGTGTGTATCTGTGTATGTGTGTGTGCATACACTGTACATAATAAAAGAAGTTCACACTTCAGGTGTCAGGTTGGGGGTGAGGGGTGGAAGAGAGGTGGAGAGAAAGTGCCTTTTTGATAAGGAGAAAGTTGTTTACTCTTCAGCCCCTTCAAATGTATTAACAAAATGTTTACTGAATCCATTGCTTTATTTTAAAAAATGTGATTTGTATTTCCTATTTGTAAACCAGATGTTTTAAGGCAATAAAAGATTGTCCAAGTGGTCTGCCTTGCCATTTGATGGTGCAGAGATGGCTTTTGGCAGTCCCCATGAGATTATCGTACATTTCTGAGGACTGTGACTAAGGTGTGGGGAAGGGCTGGAGGGGTGGAGGGTGAGGGCTGGAGGGGTAGGCCTTCCATAGGTGTGGTCCTCTATTTACACAGATGTTACTATCCTAGTGAGTTATTTTTAAAAGATGAGGCTGTAAAGGTTACTGTTGGCCTACACGGGAGACTACAACTCAACATCCAGTACATGACCTTGACCGCTTTCCATCCTGTGTACACATGTAGGTTCACCCGAGTGTGACTGCTGATGAGAGAGCCCTCTGTTGTATCAGGCTCTGCCTCAAATGATGGCTGAGTGTTTGTTCTACAATCACTGTGACCACACAGACTTAATTTCCTTGGATTTTTCTTGGATTCAAACAGGCTTTGCCTAGTATAATGGCATTGAGACTCACTGCGCTGGGGAGCGGCTGCAAAAACAGGTGAAGCTTCACTCGCCGCCTGCCGCTCACTGTTGTGCTGCCCGGTTCTTAACTGGCCACGGACTACTACCAGTCTGTGGCCTAGGGGTTGGGGACCCCTGCTCTACATCATCTCTAGATCCTTTGGGATCTTTGTTTTTATTTATCTGGAATCACATTTCTATGATGCATGCCTAGAGAATCCAAGTCATCTTATGCTTCCATTCACACCTTTCTTGGGTTCCATGTGGATCTCCATTCAAATGTTACCTCTGTAAGATCATTGCTTTTCTTCCTGCTTCCTTACAGTAGTTGGTGAGTAAGGGAAAGACAGTTCTCAGCACTGGGCTAGTTTTCTAGATGTAGTAATGTGGGGATGTGAGTGGAATTGCTACAACCACTTCTAGCACCGTAAGTGAAGCCAGCCTGAGGATGATGCCAACACAGGCAGAAAGAGCCAAAAGAATTACAGAGAAATGGAGCTGAGTCTTGATCAAACCATTCCTGAAGCCTAAATCCTTTTAATGTTCCCATTTTGTGAGGCAATGTTATCTTTACTGCTTATGCTAGTTTTAGATTTTGTTCCTTCCACCTAGAGAGCTTTAACTGATGATTTCCAATGCCTTTAAGTATCAATTTCAAGCTCCTATCCCGCCCTTACCAGTCCCCTGCCTTCCTTTCTGGCCTATCTCCTACCTTCCACTTCCTAACTTCATACTGTAGTTACATTGATCCTCGTGCTGAACAAGACTGATCCTGCCTTCCCGATGCTGCTCCCTCTGCCCTGAATACCTGCTGCGTATAATACCAAGGCATTTAAGTCTCAACTAAAATCTTATTTCCTACTTCCTGGTAGTGTAAGTTATGCATTCCCTTTCCCTTCTTTACTATAATATTTGTTTTCTAGATTTCTTATCACTGTCTGAGTTGTCTTTCACTTGTTTGCTTATTTATCATCTGTTTCCTTGACTACTATGTAAGGGCCATGGGAGCAGGGTCATTGCCTGGGTCATTCATTGCTCTTTCCCAAGTGTCTGGCATAGAGCAAGTGTTCATTAAGCACTTGTTTAAATAATGAATGGGCTCTCAAGTCCTGTGGAACCCCTCGGGATTGTGCTGGGAGGACAGCTGTCTGCTCTAGGACATCGTGCTAGGGGTTCAGTGTTCTTTTCATTGTCGTGCAGCTGTTTCTTCTATGCTGCCCTCCCCTTTTTTTCTGTCTCTGCTTTTACAAGAATCTGTTTCTTAGGAAGAAAACAAGAAAGGGTCCTGACTATTCAGTTGTGAACCTAGAATCTTAAGGTGGAGAAGGAGAGGAGGAAGATTTGACTTCAAGGGAAATGAACAAGTGACAAAGGACCTGGAGGCAGCCAGGTCTGCCTGGGTTTTGAGCTGTCCTATTTACAACGGTGTATTTGATTAGCGAACAGCTGTGATTTTCCTGTGTCAGATCTAAGGCTCAGAGGAGGGCATGCGTGCCCTTGGCTCGAGGGAGGTCAGAGTACAAGGACTAATCAGAGCAGAGGTTTTTCAATTTATTACAAAATTTCTTACGCAAATACAGCTGACCAAAAGGTCTAAAAACAGCCCAGACTCTTCCAACCCTGATCCACCTGCAGATACAAGGATTAAGCCATGCTCACTCACAGGAGAGCCCTTCTTAGAAGAATCGCCTGTACCTTGGGCGGCTCAGAGTCTTGGGTCCAGTAGCAGAGAGGAGCCCAGCACGGGTGGACAACCCCTTGAAGCAGCCCTTGGTGGCAGCTGCTCTGGGTGAGGCAGCAGTTTTAAGTTTCATAGTCCACATGTTCCCATCACACAAGTCAAATCAAGGGATGGAAGTAAAAGGAAAAAGCAGAAGGCTGGAAAAGAGGGGGCAGGTGGGGGAAGGGCACACAGTGGGCTTCTGAGGTGCTGACAATTTCTTGATCTGGATGGAGGGACAGAGTAGTCACTTTAAGATAATTCTTTAAATTTTACATACATGTTATATACTTTCCTGTATGTATGTTATATCTTAAAAACTTTAAATGTAAAAAAACCCAAAACCAAAAGTAAAAGGCAAGTAGTGGATAAGGTGGCTAATGATGGAGCGGAAAAGAAATTAAAGCGCAGAGAGGATGAAGGGATAGGACAGCAAAGATGGAAGACGAAGTCTCGGAGGTGGTAATGCTGGCCTCAGTTTCTCTTCTTCTGTCTGGATACTGGTTCTACTTCTAGGTACTGGAGGCCAACTAGCATACCCAGGATTGAGAAACCTTAAATACAGAGAACAGATTAGTGTCCCTTGTATGTCTGTTAGGGCTAGGACAGTTCTCATGGGAGGCCGGGTGGTGGCTGCATGCTTACTTGCTACCATCAGGGGTGCCAGGACGCCGACTGTGGGAGCTGCAGTCCCATAGACAAACAATTCGGAGAGGAAATGCCCCAGGGCGAGGAGGAAGGTCCAGAGTGTGATGTGGTAGAGCCTACAAGGGGGCAGACAGAAATGGGAACTGAAGTACTGCTTGTTCTGTGCAGAGGAAAAGTCATGGTCAGACCTAATACAAACACAAACCCTGGAAGTGACTATGGCTAGAGGAAAAAGAGACTTGGTCCTGAGAAAGACATGGCTGCTTGATCACATCCATTTATTCTCTACTAGGGCAAAACTGAAGGTTTCAACTGCTAAACTCCGAGAATGGTCCAGGCACCCACAGTGGATCTCCACGTCTTAGCAAGGGTGTGAAGCCAGCTATATAGCAAAGCAGTATCTGGATTACGGCAATCCCACGAGGTGTAGATAATTTTGGATCAACCACGCTTACATATTCCGCTTATCACAATGGCTTGGCTCTGTAGTCAGAATCTACCTGGCAGGTGTTTGGCCAGGGTCTGCCCAGTGCTCCTATGATAGATGCCACAGAATAGATCTTAGCAAGGGTGTGAAGCCAGCTATATAGCAAAGCAGTATCTGGATTACGGCAATCCCACGAGGTGTAGATAATTTTGGATCAACCACGCTTACATATTCCGCTTATCACAATGGCTTGGCTCTGTAGTCAGAATCTACCTGGCAGGTGTTTGGCCAGGGTCTGCCCAGTGCTCCTATGATAGATGCCACAGAATAGAGGGCTTGAATGGGGGAATGAGCATTAAAGACCTCTTGGGGGCTTTTAGATGCTATTGCAATGTGGGCTGGTTATTTTGTGTCTTATCCTAGGAAAATGGTCAGATGAAGGACACGGTGATAACCTCATGGGAAGAGAACTTTTTCCTCAGCTTTGACAAAGAGGTGGAGAACAGACAGGTTACGGGATGATTGACCATTTGGATTGCTGATATTTTTTTTAACTAAAAAATTTTAAATTATGAAATACTCCAAACATGCAAAAAAAAAAAATTAGAGATAATAGGATACTATAGTTTACCCATGTGCAACCAATACTCTGCTCCATCAAACCTGGACATTTTGACATTTTTGCTTTAGATACTTTTTTCTAAGAAATAAAATATTGTAGATATCAGTTAAAGCATCCTGTGTATTCTTATCCCACCGTGATCCCATTCTCCTGCCTCCCCCTGCCCCAGAAGGAATCAATATCTTAAATTTCATTTTTATCATTCCTGTGCATATTTATATTAAATCCCATTTAATAAATATGTACATATGGGAGTTGACTTCGAGTTTCCAGTTAGGGAGATAAAAGAATCAAAGTGCACATCAGAAGTGCATGGACAAAAGTCCCAGGCTAAAAAGAGGTTGGAAATAGACATCGGCATTTGCCGCTGTCCTATATTTGAAGAAGGGGAAATGAATGGGTAATAGAGGTAAAGATAAGCCTGACTTGTTTTTGCTCATTCCTAAAGCAAACAAAAGATACACTCCTTATACCTATCAGCAATTTTCATCATGACAAAGGTCTTTAAAATGATTCCATCCTTATTCCTTCCCAGTCACCCTGAGAGGTAGAACAGATACACTAGTTTCATTTTATACATGAAGAGACTGAGATGCAGAGAAGGTATATAATGAACTTGCTGCTACCAAAAAAACTGAAACCAGAGTCCATTCTCTTGTTTTCATTCTCAGGCCTCAGGCTGTTTCCACTAAACCACATTGTTTCCAAAATTATATGTCAATCTAGAACAAGTAAACCACAGTTTCAAGTTAAAAAAATTAAAAAAAAAAAAATACTTGGAGAGATAGCAGGGCGGATAGCCCTGCTTCAAATCCCATTTGAGTCAGTCTTCCCCATTTTAATTTAATTGGGTCTCTAACGTGTAGATCTGCAAAATCAGGAATGAAAATCACTACCTCCCAGGGCTGCTAGGAGGAGGCTTAATCAAGGTCACATAGATGAAAGCTCTTGGCACAAAAGGAGGGGCCCAGTAAATATCATTACCTCCCCTCCTCCCCAGATGCTGAGAATCTAGATAAGACAAAAATATTTTAGTGTGAAGTTGGCGTTTCGGTGGCCCCATCCACTGACCTGAGCAATCTGCACTTTGATTGTGGTGATGACTATAGTTGGGAACAAGGCTCGAGCCCCCTCCAGTGGCCAGCACCAGTTACAGCATTCTCTAGACAAGAGACTAGGATTGTCTGCAATTGTTCCTTCCACACTAGTCTATTTGAATACCCTAGAGGCAGAATACAGAAGTCCTGGGTTCTCTTTCACCCTCCTCTGCATAAACATACAGCAATTACTTGTGGGTTCCTTTTTTAATGGATGATTTCTGATCATTCCTTGCTTAAGGAGGAATGTGAGAATAAGGTATGTGTGGGTGGCTGCTCTAAAAAGAGCACACTACATCTTTAGTAGAAGAAAGGCTGATTCTTTAGTAAAGAAGAAGGGTATGGTGCAGGCCACTGGATCATGGCACCGCCAGTGTGCTCTGTCGGTTCCAAAGAATTTTCAAACTTTAAATATCTGTTAGGCCTATTACTTTTTTTAGACCTGGATGGAACAGAACCTGTTAACGTTTTGTTATCTGTATTCTAGGCTAATATGTATCAAAATAAACAGGTCTCCCAGAGGAGGACCACAGTGGGTATGCTTAGCACCTGATTTACAACCAAAGTTCTACTAAAGCTCTTCCTTCCCTTACATACGTCTTGTTGTGGATGTCAATGGCACAGAGGCAGCGAATCACTGATGAAAGTAGTGTCCAGATCCCAAAGGTCCGAGCTTGGAGGCCATTCACTATGTAACAGAAAAAAGCAAGTGTGTTGAGAAAGGGAAGGTTAGGGTTCCCTCCAAACTCTTCCTACTTCACTGGGGGCTCTGGGGAGGCAGGACGCCGAGCCTGAACTACCTTTGGCTGGGCAGAGTGGAGGGTCTGGTGCTGCTCATGGGAACGAGGAGGAATGGAAGGAATTCCAAAATGAGAACTGCTCAGCTCCTCTTCAAATGTCTATAGCTGGGCAGGGGAGTTCTAAGAGTGGAAACCCAACAGAGTCCACTTGGATGTAGTAGTTTATACCTCTGCCCTGGAAGCTGCTCTGGTATTGGTGAAGCCCAGCGTACCTGGATCAGGACAGGTTTGGGGGAATGTCATAGAGAGTGGTCCAGCAATACAGGATACCTGGGAGGTCAGTAGACTCTTAAGGCTGTTGTGGGAGAGAACTTGGAATACTGGGACCTATCTAGATGACTACATCTCTTAAAGACCTAAGTCCCTGGGTCTTCTTTTGAATCCAGTTCTATATTATTCAAACAAAGCCCAAACCAGGCTGGTTTCCTGTACACAAGGTAGTGGAACAAAGGACTGTTTCTTTAGTGTTTGCTGAGGCCACCCTGCTCTGTTCGTGGCTTTGTCCTGACTCTGCTGCAGTAAATGTCTTATCCTGAAAGTAAGGATGGTAATCCACCATAACAGTGGTTCTTGAACCTGGGCATTTAGTAGATCAATGGAAAACGTTTTATAAAATTACCAAGATCTGGGTACCAGACTAATTAAATGATACTCTCTGGAGGTGGACCCTGGGCATAAGCATTTTCTGAAAACCCCCTCCCTTGGTGATTGTAATGTACAGCCACTGATCTAAGGCATTCAGTGGTCGGAATGCGAAAATAGTAACAGCAAAGATACTTCCTTTGCTGGTCTATTAAGCAAGAGAAATCTCAAGGGACACGACTGAAAACTGAAGTTTACTTGGGCTTTAAGGATTTTCCAGCCTTTGGAAAACCAGAGTGATATTAATTTCACGACTTGATGACCTCTGGATAGTAGTAAGGTGAGAAAAAATCACGTACGCCAACCAAATATTTAGTGGTTAGCTCCAGTGGGTTACATTCTTTATAAATCAATTTGATAGCTCTTCTGATAAAAAAATGAAGGAAATTTCTGTAGTTAGAGAGATACAAAAGTGGAATATTTCACCAACCCTAACCAGATGAGGCATCAGGTGAAACTCTACTGCTATGATCAGCAGAGTACTATGACAGTCCCCGCATCACCAAGGAGGAGGCAGTCTCTACTTCTGGACTGGATACACACAGACAGACAGACACATACCACACATACTTCTTTTGCTCAGCTCTACTGACCTTCAAAAAGTCACATGACCCCTGGGCTTCTCTGTCTCAACTTAAATTCAAAGGGCTAGATCAGATAACCTCTAAAACCCTGTGAATCTAGACAGGATTCCTGGACCATGTGAGGGCAGTGTTTGAGGGTGAAAGTGGAACCGTCCTGCTCACTCTTCTAGGTTCTATACTCCTACTGTATTTCAGCTTTGTTCAAAATGAGCCTTAGCCTATTTAGTTTCATTTATACCCAGATGTTACAGAAAATGAGCTAGGTCAGAGCCTGAATCTGGGTTAGCTATAAATGTGACACAGAATTGTCAGCTGCTGTGAAATGCTGCTGCAGCTCAAGCTACCCCACGCATCAGCGCAAGGAAGCGCAAGTTGAAATGTGAAAACACTCTGAGCAGAGAGGCTCAGGAAACTGGGAAAGGCAACCATGGGCCTTATGAAGTTTCATTTTGAGAGACCAACTTGGAGGGATCTTGGATGTCTTCTCAGGGACTATGTCATTGTTTGGGAAGACTTTAGATCAGTAACGCTCCATCTGCAACATGCAATGTAGCTATGAATCCCATGACCTGATTTCTCAGGAGGGCTGAGATAACATGAAAAGCTTCTTTATGGCTTTCTAGTGGGGGCATCCAAGAGTCACCAAGTAACTCTCTTTCTTCATTTGTCCTTGTAATGTCTTTCTTTCTTTCTTTCTTTTTAACAGACTAATTGCCTAGGGCAGTGTAAAATGAATAAAAGGTATTCAGAAAATCTTTGGGGGAAAAAAGGGCTAAGTACTATCCACAAACTCTATTACTCTAGTGGCTTCCAAAGGCTAGAGTAGGCAGCATCAGAATCACCTGGAAAGTTATTAAAAAATAGATTCCTAGACCCATCTAGGGGTGAAAGTTTCAGTAAATAGTTTTAGAGAGGGAAATGGGCACCTATGCTTTGTTCATTTGTTTGTAAGTTTCCTAGGTTATCCTGATGTACAGCCTAGTGTGGGCACCAGAATTTATGCCACTCCTGCAAAGGATGCAGTTCTTTGACTTCTTACCCAGGTCTGGCTTGCCGGTGTAGAGCTTTTCATAGAGAAAGGTGTGGTCTCGGAAGCTTTGCAGCGTGTTCCCCATGGCTATGATGGACACCATTACCAGCCAGCTTCGTAACACATTCAGAAAACGGCTCATGACTCTCCTCAAATCTGAGAGGGTTTCTTGTCTTAGTAAAAAGGCAAAGGACATGAGACAACAGACTACTTCAACCATTAGCTCTCTCATCTCAGTACTTAACCTGTGTCCCACTCATGAGGGCTGTACTAAGCTTTTTTGGTCAATCACTTCATAAATTCCTCTGCCAAGTCCCCTAGGTTCATCTGTCCCCAGTTATCTTAAAGTGTCACTCTTACACAGGGTTAGCACTCTGCTTTTGAAAATTTGCCTTAAGGCAAAGTATGATGACCTTTACCCAGAGTGAGAAAAGCTAAATAATGCAGTGGGTAGAAATGACAAACCCAGCAGAAAAACTGGAGAGAAGAAAGGGAGCAGAAGAAGAGGTGTATAAATATTATTATAAAGTAAGAAAGTGGATTTCTGTGAAAGACTTGCAGAAACTGGTTTCACTAGTTAGTCATACTAATAGTGGTGAATCAACAGTATATTTTCCAATAAGTGGCAATTTTCCCAAAATATTATCTTACATCAGAACTCTTCTCTTGGCTGCAATCAGTCCTTTAACACCTTTTCATATCTCCTGGTTTCTCATGTCATTCTTTGTAATACAAGTGGCTGAAAGGTGATGATACACCTACTAAGAGATACCTTCCAGGCTATTGATGACATCCTTCCAAGTGCACAATTGAGTGGAACCTATGGTGTGAGGGGGCAATATTTACATCCTTAGGTTTTTGTCTACGCTGGTTCTCAGGTATACTATGCTCTCTAAACTAGAATAATAATCTAAAAGTTAAAAATAAATAAACTGCTGTGACTTGAGAACTAGTATGCAATTATACGGGGAAGGAAATAGCAATGTTGGCATTGGGATGCAAGATAAATTATAATAGCTGATAATTATTGAGCACTTGTATGTGCCATGCACTGAGAGAAGCACCTAATATATATTGTAGGTGCTATTAATATTTCCATTTTACAGATGAGGGTTGGCACAGACAAGTTAAGTGATTTGATTGAGGTAACACAGCTAGTATATGGCAGAGCTGAGATATAAAGCATAGTCTGTTGGATTCTACATTGCAATACCACCTCACTGTTTTCAGAATAGTTTGATGAAGTTTCCATTTTTGAGGAAGACAGTCAAGTTGTATGGAAAATACACTTAGGTTATGTACTTTTCTTTAAAAAACCGCTAAGATCAACCCTTGCTGAGCATTGATTTCAATCAGCTTGACTTAAATAAAACCTACGTAGATAAAGAATCTAATAATGGAATTACTTCTTCCTATCTTCATTACTTTTTTTGGGGGGGGGGCATGGTTTATCTGTTGTCAGATTAACTTCTTGGAGTTGACATGGTGACAACTTATCAGGCTTCCTTTGACACTATGGCAGTGGATGTATGGTCCTACACACTACCCAGATGAAACAGATATTAAAGTCAGCCATGGCTCAAGACAGTGTAAAGCACCAAAACAACAAACAAAAAAGAGCTGAGAGAAAGGATGAATGGATAAATCGCTCGAGGAAAGGTGGATCACAACAGTGAACTTTGTCGAAGTCCAAAGAGAATAGGACTCTACTGGACATCACTGGCAGTTACAGCCTGGGCCAGGATGCCCCCTATCCTCCCTCATCAGGACTCAGGTTCTCTCTTCCCAGGGTCAGAAAAGCTGCATGGATGTCCCCTCTTTTTGACAGAACTGATGCCTTCCATTTCACAGAAGCTCTTAGAAATCCCAATTGATAGCTGATGAGGGCAGAGCCTGAGCATTTTCCTGAACTGCTCTACCAATCCCCCAACCCCATTTTCCTAAAGCTGAGGGCCTCCTAGAGTATGCAACGTCTAGTCTCAAATTTTGCCCTGGCCCAGCCCAGCAAAGATGTGGTGTTAAAACTTGAGCCGAGAGAAACGCAATCTTATCTTGCCCCTACCAATTAGTAGCTGTGTGACCCCGGGCAAATCATTTACACTTGACAGCCTAGGTTTCCTCACTTGCAAATTGGAGATTTAAAAAATACTTATCTCAAGGGTTTTTGTAAGAACTACAGGAGAAAGTGAAGGTTCCTTGCACCGTGCTAGGCTCATAGTGGTCGCTCATTCGTTCATCCATGCATTCGTTCCCCGAACCTATCAAGCCTTCATTTTCTTAGCTCCTCCTTCTCATGTTCTCTCGAACCCCTTTTCCCCCAAAAAGCTACCTCTCCCTGGATACCCTCAATCAGATGCCACACAGACACCTACATCCTTCTTCTCTCCCATATTCTCCTTACCTGGCGACTGGAACCCAGCGCAGCAGCACCAACAGCAAAGACGCTACCCCAAGACAGCTCTAGCTAGAAGTCTACCTGAGCCATTTGTTCCCGCCCCCTCCTTCATTCGACTCCAGGATTGGGCCGTTTCCCTCAGTCCTCGCTCTGATTGGCTGTTCCGGTATTGCTCAAGCAGGAGATGGGGCGTGAACCCCTTTACTGCCAATCACCGGATGCTCTTGCTCAAGTCTCAGCCCCGGTACGCCACTCACGCAGTGAACCCGCCTGTTGAGTGTGGCGGAAGACCTCCGGGCTTGGCGTCAACCCTTTAGGGGCGGAGGGCAAAAAAAAAAAAGCGGAAAACCGAAGTCAAGATTCTTCTGCTGAGAGCGGGCTCCGAGCCCGCGCTGCGCGGCGGTGACGACATTCGTCCGCGCCCACAGTCGAGCGTTGTCGGCGCGGGGTAGCGGGCGCCTGCGCAGTGGCTCCGAGCGGGCGGTTGCTTGTTGGTTGTTGTAGTAACCGGGGAAGCAGCCGTCCGCGGCCGCCGTGCGCTCGGCTGGCGAAGGAGGGAGCTAGGCGCTGAGCGCGGTCCCGGCCTGCCCGCCCCGAGCCATGGGAAGATGAGACAGGTAAACGTCTACGCCGGCGCACTTCCTTACCCGAGGGAGGTGCGCTCCTGGGTCTGGGCGGGTGCCGGCCGCTGCACTTCCCTCTTAGAGTCCGGGAGCAGCTGTTGGTTTCCGGGCGCGCTGGGCTGAATCGCTGCGGCAGAGTCGCCCGCGTCCTTCCCGTGGGGAGCATTTAAGGAACTACCCGGGATTGGGGTGAGCGAGGGCTGAGAGGCTGATCCCTATAGTGCGAGGACGCTCCTTGGGCGAGTGTCCTTAATCTTCTTCCGAACGTCCTGTCTCTCCCTGCTCTGCAGGCAGCGCAGGACAGGTTGGCATCCCTTCCTGGTTGGAGGTTTTGTTTTGTTTTAATTGAAAGGATATGCCAACATTTGGGAAAGATCGAGAAATCCCATTGGGAATCCGCGGAAGAACGCCTTTGGAGGTTGTTAGATATTGCCCGTTCCGCTGAAGATCTGTAGGGATCTTCTGGATCTGCATTTTTAGGTTCTGTTTATAACTTATATAGAAAAAGGAAGTTTGCAAAGATTGACATCAAGTGGTTATCTCTGAATTATGGGATTATGATCATTTAAATATTTTAGTTTTCTTTATCTGTAATTTCTATTCCTTCCTCAACGAACATTTTTCTTATGGAAAAAATATTTGTTAGAAATTGGAAATATGCTAATTTTCATTTCTGTTCGAGATTCGGGTCATAGTTTGTGGTTTTTAGCAAGGGAGAGTAATTTTCGAGAGAGTTAGGAAGGACCTTTTTTCCCCCTAGATATTTATGACCTTGATTCAGGAGAATTTATTAATCTTTTGGGTCAGTGGTTGAATTTATTTTAGTGAAAACATGAGGATATTTTTACCCGTATGCTTGTCATGGAGGCTAAAGAAATACTTGTAAGGATCTTAAATCATGAGTTTTTACTTTTAACCCAGGTCCGGTTTTTCTAGCAAGGAATCTATGTTTAAGGCAATAATTCACCTAACTCAGACTTTCCTAAAAGTTAAGTAAGTCTTACCTTTTGGTACATGTTGGATATAGTATTTAAAAGAAAGATGAGAAACTCTAACTTAGTACAGTTCTTCAAATACATAGAGAAAAGACAGTCTGGGGAAAAAAGCTTGATTTGGTGGGAGTGCGTATGTGAAGTATTGTGATAAAAGGTAAGGCTAGAGATTGGGCACCAGTTAGGTAAATATTTTTATTACTTGAGAGATCATCAGCAATAATCAACCAATAGATAACTGCATGTGTTTCAGATCTTTTGGCTTTCTTACAGGAATCAGTGCCATCCAAATTGTTTGATCCAGTCTATGTGCCAGGAAAGGTCTCTGAGCCCCCCGTCTGCTGACTGCATGACAAACCCTAAAGGAAATGCCAGTCGTGATGGCCCGGGACCTGGAGGAAACAGCATCATCCTCAGAGGATGAGGAGGTGGTAAGCCAAGAGTAAGTAATATCAAGCCTGCTTTTGAACCTTTTTTTCCTAGGATGGGAAATAGTTCTCTTTTACTCTTGTACCCAATATCTTTCCTTTGGTATCGCCTGACTCTGGTTTTAGCTTCTACCCATGATCTAATTCAAGAGCTTATTATTTGGTCCCCATCAGCTATCTGAAATGAGATAAGGCTCGGGACTCACGAGTGAACATCAGCTCTAGATTTTGCAGGTAGTAGCTCTCAGTGAACTCTAGATCAGAGCTCCTAACAAAGGAGATTTTTAACCTTTTAGTTATTGAAGAAAAGTAAATCTCCAAACTCTGTGACATTGGTCACGTTACTTTCTCAGAAACTTTTACAATGATAGAATGATGAAAATATGGAGAAGTCAGGTGACTTACCACAGTAACTGTAGCAGGACATTAAAATTATATAATGGAGCCTGTGCTCCATCTATTGAACCACATTGTTTCCTGAGGTTTTTTAGGTAAGAGTCAAGTTTCTCGATTGCTGGGTTCTCATAATAATAAAAATATGAATGCTAACGATACCTGCAGCTGCTATAGATGATGGTAAGGGCTTTAACTACTATATCTCATTTAATTTGGAGATGTTATTATTCCCACTTTATTAAACTCAGCCTCACGAATATCAAAGTACTTGCTCAGGGACTCAGAGAGAGTAAGTGATGGATTGAGATTCAGACCTAATTTTACTGAATTTTGAAGTACTTCACTGTTTTGCCTCCTTTAACATTGTTACTTAACACAGAGAACACAGAGAAAGACTTGCTTAAAGTTAAGATTAGTTTTTAAGATTTTCATCAAGTTCTCTTGCATATGTGTGTGCTGTGTAACCTGCAAAATGGGGATACTATCTCTCAGGCTGTTTTATAGGGTTTATGGTTAGAATCAAATAGAATAATGTGTATGAAATTACTTTGTAAATTATGAAGTACCATACAAATATAAGGCATTATTCTTACTGGCACTAATATTGAATTATAAGGTGGAAGACTACATTATCTAATAAAACTTTAAAAAATTATTGAAGCATTATTAAAATTATTAAAGCTTTGGGGAAAGACTTCTCATTACTTTTAGGTTACAGAAAATAATAGAGATATGACATTATATTTGGGTCATTCTCATTTAGGATAATTAAATGGATAATTCCCTCTGGCTACTTTGCCTTCTTGTGACTTTTTGCTTTCTGTATGCTGCCTCTTACCCATTTCACAAATTTTCTAACTGCTTCAAGTATCGGTCTTTCCAATTTCAAGATCATTCTTTTACTCCATAGATAGCTCTCTTATTAGTGGGCTTAGAGGTTGGTCCTAACAAGTATTAGGTTGAACTGTATGAAATTATCGTTTTCTTAGGTCAAAAACAGTCAAATATTGACAATTTCAGTTGGTTCAACCTAGTATTATTGTAGGTACTCAATAAATACTTGCTCATTGAATGACTAACCAAATGAACGAATAAATAGAGGCTTTGTGCTATAGATCACATTATATTAGGCGTTCTTAATTTTTTTTAATGCTGTGGATCCCCTCTCAGAAAAATATTAAGTACTTAAAATAAAATACATATCATTACAAAGAACACAAATTACATTGAAATGCAGTTATCATAATTAAAAAAAAGACTTGTGATACAGTGATATGTGCTTTCTCATTAATACATTAAATAAGATTATTCATGTAAAACATGAAGAAGTTAAATTTTATTTCCTAAAGACAACAGTAAGAAGACTGTTTTTGCTTAGTTTGCATAAGATCAGCACACTATAGGGTGGTCTTTGAGTAACACTTGTAATTGGGGAATACCGGGAAACATCATACATATCTGGACCATCAATGTGAGATGTCACCATTTGGTAGCTGAACAATTGCCAAATCATTCATTGTCCAGACTCATCACAGGTGACTCGTCACAGATTGTGATCACAGGTGATCTAGTGACAAGTTTAATAACTAACATAACTTAGCAGTAGTGATACATGTAAATGATATTTTAAGATACTGGCATCGACTATAAAATGGTATAAAAATCTGTAATTTCGAATAGAGTCAATAGCACAGATAATGCTAATACTGCTGTGCTTTGCTGCCTGTATTTGTAATTGAGAAATGTTAAATTTGTAGAAGTTAGTGAAAATAAAGGTATAATCCCTACTTCTCCTCTTCCCCAGTCCAAATTCATGGACCTTCTCTTCTCCTTCCTTTCAAACTCCTGTTGATTTTTGACTGTTAATCTTGTTCCATCAGGTCATTGTGTCTTTGAAACACTTATTTTATACATTAGGAATCTTAAGTTGGTCTTGTTCACACTTGGAGCAATAAGCTTACATTTAAAAAGTTTTGGAAGTTAGATAGGCCTTAAATCATCTTCAGGATTTTGATTTGATCCAAAGATACATATCCATGGACATCTGTTAATCTGCTCAGATCTCTAGCCTGTATTAAAGTATTAATGCCTTGCAGTCCTGGACTTTAGGACTAGAAACTGTCCAGGCAGTACTTGTTTTGCATGGCATTATTTAAAATAGTAAATGTAAAAGGGGTTCATTTTCTATATTTTCCTTAGGGATCCCAAATACAAATTTATGTACAGATGTGGAAACTTCCATAAAAGGATTTGATACAAGATTTCTTTTGTCTCTGAAAAAATAGTAACTTTAATTTCTATCATAAAAGCTGGCTTTATATCAGGTGAAAAGATAGCATTTACGTGGAAAAAATAAAAGATTATCAATAAATGATTTTACAGTGAGTGGCACAGGAGTTCGGAGAAAGAAGGCATCACTGTGGAGGAGCTGGGGAAGGCTCTGTGGAGCTGGTGAGACGAGCTAGGCTTTGGAAAGTGGGATTACATGTACAGAGAGACTTGGGGAAGGCACTGATATGAGTAATGCATGGAAGCTTTGAATTATGTAGGTGGGATCCCAGGAGTGAATAATATATATTCCTCGTGAAATTGCTCCTTAAAAACCAAAACGTTCTTAGGCTTTCAATAAGATAAATCATAAACCAGGTCTACTTTGGTAATTAATCGTTCAAATACTTTGTTCTTTCATGCC